ACACACACACACACACACACACACACACACACACACACACACACACATTTACACGCATACTTAAAAATTCATATACACAAACAAATACTAACAAACTATCTTTTTCCTTTTTATTTTATGTTTTTTATATTTTCCAAGTCCTGGTGACCTGAAATACAGACCTGAAATACGTCTAGTTTAGGCACCAGTCTCCCACAATATTCTTTCTTTTTTTTTTATGTATAGTGCCTGTTATTATGCACAATGTACCTATATTGTGGTGATAAAATAAACAAACTTATTATTATTATTATTAATTTAAGGTTGTCTATGTGTGTCCATGGCATCCGCGATACAGAGTTTCTCTAGTGCGGCAGGGCGTAAAAAAATATTTCTGTCATTTAATTTGTTTGAAAACTATTCTGCCATATAATTACTGTGACAACTGCGCTCCGATTGGCCAGCCCGAATTCGAAACAATTGACGGGTGTCGACAATTGTTTCACTTCAAAGCGACCAGTTTAACTTGAGCTTTGTTGTAATGGACGAAAATTGCAAAATTACGTATTTAATTGCTGATGAAATTTGGTTCCGTTTCTTCTATAATTATATTTTTGCTGTTTTTCCCCAGACCATGGAATGGAACAGCACGTCATTGTAAGAGATATTATCTTTCTTACAATAAATACAGAATATTTTTGGAATATACGAAGACGTACACACGGGTCAGTTGTTGGCGCTGTCTATATTTCAGTGCAAATGAGAGTTGATATTTATAAGTGAAGTATCACTGATAAGTTACCAGGAACGTATGTCCCTTATTTCGTCTCTATTTCTGGTTATATACTCGATCCTCACAGCTCATACTTTATTAGTACATAATATCGTGTGATTTTCTATGTATATATGTGTGTGTTTGATGAATAACATCCTATTTAATTTAATTTAAATAGATGGCGTTAGTTGTAGTCTAAAACGAAGAAGGAAGTTGTTCATTTATTATTTTTTTTATGATAACAAGTGACTGGACGAACAAGGCGCCACTTAGAGCTTTAAGTCGTAAAGCTGCCTCTGTGCCCGTCACCCTGAGATATAAGCTGACAAGTCCCATGTGCCTGTAATTTCAACAGCAATTTGATCAAGTACAATTCTGAGAAAGCTTTATGGAAAAGAGGAAAACCCATTAGGGAAATCCCGGGCTTGCTGAAAATCAGCGCCACGAAACGGCTTAAAAAAAGCCTTTTTGTGGCTAAAGTTGAGCAAGTCCCGATTGTACCAAGCGCTACACGCATGACGGTGAATCAGGTACTGCATTGTCAATTGTTTTAATTTTTCTTTTTTAATTCTTTTGTTTACATCATTATTTTTTTTAGACTCTCGCCTCTCCCAAGGCCTAAAAGATTAATTTTGAATTTTTAAATGGGAGAGGCGGTATTTCCCGGCACTGGAACAGTAGGCCAAGGTCAGGGACTCAGGTTCAAGAACGTCGTATAGAGCAGGATCGCCTTCTGCATTTGCAGAATTTGCTGGAAGCGACACGCCACAGAAATCCAACCGCCTCAAGTTGTTAGAAAGGCTGACTGGAATTAACCCATTTGCGGATAAAACAATTGGGATTATTTCAGTGCAGGCCACATCCCATATGTCAATGATCTCGTGCGCCAGGTCGAGATACTTCCAGCGCTTCTCGGTTTCGGCTTTCACGAGACCCTTATCATGCGGGATGGTAACGTCTACAAGAAATACCCTCGACTGCGATCCAATTCTCGATCCAAAATTCGCAAGAATAGTCCTGTCCGTGATAATGGGTCGATCTCAATAGATTTTGGTGCGGTCATCTTTGAGTATTGGCTCCGGTGAATACTTGTAATAGGGCAACCCCTGTTGCACGAGTTCGTACTTCAGAGTGAGCTCTTGGTGTATTATTATTATTATTATTATTATTGTTCCTCTGTTATTTCGTGTCTGTGCTTGTGTAATAAACAGTTTTATTTCTGTCTTTCTTTTTTTTCCATTAAATCACTATACTATAATATCAAGCAATTTAGACTTGTAGTGTGTACTCACGGCGTATAATTTAAAAATGATATTACATTGGACACCAATACGATTTTTTACGATTTCGTACCTCAATACGTTTTCCCACATTAAATGAGCATTTTTAAATCTGCCTTGTTTTCATATTCATATTTTTGTTCACTCTTAGCATGCTTTTGTAACATCTATCTATTATTATATTTGTCAAATCTTGCAAAATATAATAAATAATTGTAATCACATAGTACGGTGACACCCTGCAAAAGTTCCTTGTTTCTAAGTTGAAAATTCTCGTCTTACACCCATGGTTGTCCTTCTCCGACATCTCGGCCATAATCATCTACATTATTTCTTCAATATTACTATGTTCTATTTTTACCAGGACGGTCCATGAAAATGAGAAGAAGTTTATCTGTCGGCAGACTGCGTCTCAATCTACCGACCCAAGAGATAGGGTTTTCCGAAGAGACTACGGGCTCGACGGTAAGACCAGGGTACAGCGGGCGTCCGGGCCAAGCCCTCCGCTAGTGATACGCCTTTACGGGCGTCACTGGTGGACCCGGACTTGGGTATGGACTCGCTGGGGTTTGTGGTGAGCTGCAGAGATGAACATGTTTGTCTGTTTCGTGCTAGCGCGTCTTATTAGCGGTCTAGTTGAGGGCCTTAAAAGTCAAAGATCTGAGAGTCTTCAACCATTGCGCCCGAGCCTGCGTCCTGCTCTACACTTTGGGAATTAAAGTTGACAAGTTCCAAGCGCCTGTAGTTTTAACAATTCACCTTTCAAAAACGAAATGCTGTAATGATCACATTAAGGGAGAGTTGGGTAATACCGCGCCATTAAACAATAAGACCTATAATTAAGTTCAGGCCTGGTTTGTAAAAACAAAATTTATAGTCGTTTAAACGGCAGTTGTTGCAAAAATATCAAAAAATTGGAAAACGCAGTAGTGGCATCTCTAGCAAGGGCTAGTAGCTGTAAAGGTGTCTAACTGGGTGACGAAATACTTTCATAGATTTCTCATAGATGGCGCTACGGCTACAAAAGTCGTTGAAAACCAAATACAAAGATGTAACCAAATACAACAAGCACGTAGAATAATTCGTGAGGTCCGCTGGTACGTTCCGTGGCTTAGTTGGTATAGCGTCTGCCACGGTATGCTAGAAGACATCGGTTCGAATCCGGCCGGATCGAAGGAATTTTTTCTGAGTGTTCGATCTTTGTATTAATAATTATAACAAACTAGTGGAGTAATACACAAAAAACAAATATTAAATATCAATTTAATACATAATTTATTAAACACAGTATATTCAACTGGTCTGATAACATCGTGTTCGGGTCTAAAAAAGCCGTGCCCCAATAAATTTATTGTAATTCGTTCAACGTTATATTTAATTTTTTGGTTGCAGTTGAGCTCCTTGTGAAAGTTCGTCCAGGGTATTACTGCCACCTTACCTGTTTCTGCCACCAAATAGTAATGTCAGCATTAATGTGTTCCTGTTTTGAAGGGTGAAATTGCATGCACATGGGACTTGTCAACTTATGTCTCAGGGTGACGGGCGCAGTGGCAGGGCCACTCAGATCTTTGCGATGTAAAGCTCTGAGTGGCTCTGCGACTGTTAGCTCTGAGTAGCAGTAATTAAAAAAGAAATAAACATAAAAGTGTAAATTACGAATTGAAATTAATTAAAACAAACAATTCATGTTACAAATTACTTTTTAACCGATTTCAAAAAAAGGAGGAGGTTCTCAATTCGACTGTATGGTTTTTTGTATGTGTGTTACGCGATGACTCCGGTATTTGTGAACCAATTTTCATGATTCTTTTTTTGTTGGAATTCTATACTTACATAGTGGTCCAATTTAATTTTGAAGAAAATCATCCACCTCTAAGGGTGGCTGTTCACGCATGAAAATTCATTTTTATAAATAGCGCCTAAATTTTACTTAAGGAGCAATTATTTTAATGGTTGGTTTTACTATTCTCCAATTCAAGGCGTTTTTCTCTCTCAATATACTTTGAGTAGTGAGAACCAATTTTTATTATCTCCTGTGTCAAGTCAAGTATAGTGGCGAACTAGGGGATATTTCAATAAAACCTGGCAAATAGATATAATTCCACGTACTTTTGAGGGTGGGTTTTTATAGTATTGTGTACTGAGATTGAGATGGGGCAGACAATCCAGTTAGGTAAGTCCAACTTTGAGAAAGAGATCTCTCGTCGAATCCAGCTCGGATGGGCAGCGTTCGTGAAACTCCAAAAAATCTTTGCGTCCAAATTACCTCAATGTCTCAAGACGAAAGTCTTTGACCAGTGTGTGTTGCCAGTGATCACATATGGATCAGAAACGTGGTCCCTCACTATGGGCCTCATAAGAAGGCTCAAGGTCACTCAGCGGGCAATGGAGAGAGCGATGCTCGGTATTTCCCTGCGTGATAGAATCAGAAATGAGGAAATCCGTAGGAGAACTAAGGTAACCGACATAGCTCGAAGTGGGCGGGGCACATAGCTAGGAGAACCGATGGCCGTTGGGGCGGAAAGGTTCTTCAATGGCGACCGCGCACCGGACGACGCTCAGTGGGTAGACCCCCCCACCAGGTGGACCGACGATCTGGTGGAGGTCGCGGGAAGCCGATGGATGCGGGCAGCGCAGGACCGATCGTCGTGGAAATCGTTGGGGGAGGCCTATGCCCAGCAGTGGGCGTCGTATGGCTGAATGATGATGTACTGAGATTATTTAAATCTTAGAAAACTTTTATTCGATCAAGAACTACGTATTGCCGTATTAAAGTCTTAGGGCAGTACAGGCATTGTGTTTTGAACTTTTACAGGTTTTCCTTGGTCTAGTATCTGCGTGATCCAATCTAAATATGGGCTGACAGGTATGAAAGTAATCGCTGGCTCAATTTCGTTGACAATACCAACAACTCTATTTGAAAAAATAACCGGTCCCCCTTCCAGGATATTTAAATTCTCACCCAAATGTTGGTTACATTCTGGTGCGAGGCACAGTGTTATGCCTTCAGCTTTAACATTGCAGGTGGTAACTGCACCAGAATATGTTCGTAAAATATATTTGTTATCCCCCTGTCTTAATGTGATGTCTGCTAAGGCTCCTTTTGTACAATTATTGTTTTCCATGCCGTAGAAGTTTACGGACACACCGAGTAGCGAGTTGAATTCGAAAGCTGAAAGTTTTCCTACAGGTTGCGGAAGATTATATTGAGTTTTCAACATAGCAATGTCGTTGACAGTTGAAGAATGTAAGTCATCTGTACTGGGATCTCTTTTTATAAACACTTGTCTGTAGTTTGGATGTTTATATATTTTCAGCACCGTTGTGGAATCACGTGTATCTAATAAATCGTTACCATTATTTGTAGGTTCCGTTTTATTGCGATGTTTACTTCTCTGTATATTGTTATAATTGTCGTACATAATGTGCAAGGTTGGTTTTGGTTCGGGTGGTATGCAGTGAGCAGCGGTTAGTGCAAAATTTAGAGTTATTGTTACAGCAGTACATACGCTTTTGCAATAGTGATCCAATTCATGAACTAACAGTACTATGAAGTTAAATTTGGAATCGGATAAGTCGTCATATCCAGTCGTCGTGTCATGTGGCGATGTGGTTTTACCATCATCTTCACCATCATCATCATTATCAGATCTTGCCCGTCCTTTGTTAGATTTATGAAATTTCGTTTCATTTGTGGTTCTAAATCGTACTGCTTCTGATTTGTTTCTAGTCGAAACACTAATGTCGCGGACTTCAGGTAGATCTTTTTTGTTTTCATCATTTTGATTATTACTTGTATTAATTTGGTGTTTTACCATTTTTTTATCTGTTTTATATTCCTTTTTTATATTTGTAGAAACGATGTGTTCATTTTGTTCTTCAGTATTTTCCGTGTTATTATGGGTATCATCATTTCGAATTTTATTTCTGAATCTACTGTGTTCACCATTACCGTGTTCAATTATTGTATGTTCACTATTGGCGTGTTCACTTTCGGAATGTGTAATAGTATATTTATGATCTCTTTTCATTTTAACGTAATCAACGTCTTTTTCCGTAGATTTTTTCATAACATTGTCGTATTTAACACGATGTTTGTTAAGAAACTCATGTTCAATACTTTTCCTATCAAAAATTTTTTGGTCATCAAAAGGTTTGTTATGAGTTTTTTCGTTGCTTTCTGTTTTATGATCGCTGTCATCATTTTTATGATGTGTATTTCGGTGAAACTTATTTTTTAACTTCGCATAGTTACTATCCTTATCTGTATAATCGATGCGGTCTTTATTTTTATTGTAATGATCAACGATAACGTAATCATCACTTTTGTGATGTTCTCGTTTTTTTTCATTACCACTATTATCATTGGTAATGTCGATGTCATCCTGTTCATCGTCATGTTTGTTATTGTGTCGAAAATGTTCTCGGTTATTGTAATCGTTATAATGTTTTTCATGTCGCCGTTCAGATTTCAAATTGTCATCGTTATTGTCTGTGTTTCCATATTTTGAAATACTAATGTTTTGATAATTTTTACTATTATCCTCTACACGACTGTTTGAAAGGCGTTTATCTGTATCTCTACCATGTTTACGTATTTTGTGGCTAAATTTTAATTCTTCCATGAACGGATTATTGTTATCATCATAATTTCTATCGTGTTTGTATTTGCGAGTGTTCTCAGGATATTGAAGCTTTTGTATATAGAGATTTTCATATCTTTCTTCCCAAAGTGTAGTTGATTTTTCAGTAATTTGAGTTGGAACTACCATTTTATCGTTATTTTGGTTATGTTGTTGTCTTTTTATAACAGAAACATTCGAATCCGTTTTTGGGACATGTGAAGTTGCAGCCGTTTTTAAAAGCAGAATATTATCTGTCTTATTCTCGCTATGACGAGCTAAAATGCTTTTTTTTAAGGCACTCCATACATTGCTTTTGAAATTTTCTCTGTAATTTTTTTCCTCCATATCTTCCATTTCCTCCAAATCATCAGTCATGGTTGTTTCATTGTTCTCTTTAACTTTGTTGTCAATTAAAGCATCAGTTAGATTAAGCACGTCATCTTTTTCAACATTTTCAGTAACTACCGGTTTTTCAAGAGTTTTTTTCTTTTCATATTTTTTTGTTCCATGTTTCTCTTTCCGACGTCTAAAATTACTTAAAATCATTTTTTCATCATTTTTAGTAGCAATATCATTGTCTTTTTTCGGAATAGAATTATCACCGTGATTATCTTGCTCGCTAGTTTCCACCGTATTGATAGAAATTTTTGAATCGCTTTGTTCAGCACGCGAAAGTGTATTATATTTCTCTTTCAAATATGCTATTTCTCGAGGTCCAATAACACTAAAATCTGTCTTCTTTGAAGTTCTTCGCCTTCTTTTAAGCCCGCTAGGTTTTTGTTCATTTTCTACATTGCCATCGTTTCTCCATTGTCTGATTAGATCTTTACTTATTTTACTTTTTGTATTATTGGAGTAATCCTTTCTCATAATATTCAATTCGATATTTCTTCGTGAGTCCAACTTACGTTTCGCACCAGAAATGTTATTTTTCTTACGATAACGTCGCCTAAAATCGAAGTACTCAATGCGATATCCTGGTTTCTCTTCAATTCGTATTTTGGGCCCAAATCTTAAGCTTTCTTTTTTAATAGGGTCATTTTGAGCTGCACCTAGATATGGTTCTTGATTTACACCTTCAGGCGACCCCGGAAATGAACGTTGAGGACTTTCATTGTTAATACTAGGAGTTTTATAATTTTCTGGGTAGTTACCGTAATTAGTATCAATAGCCCGTTGTCTATCATAATCTTTTCCAACACCTCTTGTATCCATTTCATTTTGGTAATTTGGAGTGACCGGTTTAAGAGACGGGTTATATCTGTCTTCAGGTTGGTTTTCGGAATGTGGCCGTGATTCATAAACTTGTGTTGGTCTTCTTTCACCGTATTTTTCTGGTTTTTCTCTATAATTTGAATGTTTGATCTTTAGATTACTATTTCTGTTTTCTTCATAATTATTATCATTGGCATTATCATCGTTATTTTTGTAATTGTTGTTATTAAAATAATTTTTATCGTAATAATTATTTTTTAAGTCTTTATCTTTGCTGTTATCATCTCTATTTATATATTTTTTGTTATCATAGCCATAGTTTGGCGCGTTGTTAATATTTTTGTCGTAGTAGTCGTTACTTTTGATATGCTTCATGTTTACATCTTCATTTTTATTTACGTTATTATTTATTGTCTCCGTGTTTCTGTTATTTTCATTATTTCTATATTCTTGACTATTTTCTAATTTGTCATTGTTAGTAACATATTTTTTAACTGTATAATTTTTGTTTACCATTTTATAATTATTATCGTTATAATTTTCATTATTATTTTCGTTATCATATTTTTTTTTATTAGTGTAATAGTTATTTTTGTAATAATGTTTATTATTTGCTGTTTGTTGGTAATTTTCGTACCCATTTTCATTTAAATTACTCATAGGATTTTCTGCATATTTATCATTTTTTAAATGATTTTGATTATTAGCATCATTATTATCATGGAAATGTTGTAAATACTGCTCGTATCGAGATTTAGTTACATGTTCTTCAACTTTATTATTTTGGATATTTTTTTCAATGTTTATGAATTCGTCAATAGGACGTTTGTCTAAGTGTTCGCTGTCAGATCTATAAATTTGTTTCAATGTAGTCGTTTCAATTTGAACCACAGGTTTATTGAAACCTTGTCCGTCTTCTTCAGATTCTCCAGGTTTATTAACTTTTATTAGTTCAACACCGTCTTCCCTTGGCTTTCTTATAGGATCTAGGCGTTCATTAGCTCGAGAAATTATTTTAGAAGGCTTGTGTATGGGCTTCAACTTCCTATGAGGTACTTGAGGTGGCAAAACTTCAGGATTGTGGTAATCATTCATTTCCTGCTCAACGTACTGATCTAGAGTCTGTTTATGAGCTTTTTCAAATCTTTCCACACTGAAGCTTTTTATTCGTCTTGGCATAGCTTTACTAGGCAGTCGGTTATATTTGGGCGTGTGGCTATCTGAATTTTCCAAACGACGATTTACAATATCAGGGTATTTCTGGGATCCTAAGTGTTCTTTTTTATGGTTAATTTGAGATCTGTCTTGAATATTTTCTCGACTATATTTAGCATCTTGTTGACTGTTTTTAAATTTATTATCCTTGTCAACATCTCGTGATTTTGGTTTGTAGTTCGATTTGTTCTCTTCTTCAGGTATGTACTTGTCATTCTTTTCACTAACACCATCATAAAGGCTTATATCTGTATATTCTATAGATATTTTTTTTGGAGATTGGTTGCGATAATGATGTCGACCTTCGGTTTTGCCATCTTCAGGTTTTGTTTGATGTTCTATTTCTTCGGGGTTACGTAACTGTTTCTTAGTGTCTTTCGTAACTTCCTCTCTATCTTTATCCGCTCTATGAGTATGTGTTGTCTTAGTTATATAATTTCTACCTTTATGATAGTAACTGTTTCTTCTCTTGTGAATTGCATCCCGTATAGTTTTATGGGTGCTAGTTGTATATCTTGTTTTCTGCCGTTTAAGTTTAAATCCGTGAAACTCTTTACTTCCAAATGCATTTCCCTCTTGAGAGTCTATTATTTTTTCAATGTTCCCTTCACGGCTGTGAGAATCATCTTCACGTGAGTATTTCCTTCGATAATGTTTCCTATCAGTTTTTCTTTGTATTTCTTGTTTCATATTTTTATAATAATTTTCTTCATCTTTAGGAAAATCTGTTGATATTGTTGCATTGACATTTTTTATTCTATTTTTATCGATATCTGCAATTGTGTCAAAATATTTTTTATTATCATTATCGATTTCTGACTCCTTACTCTGTGTTAACTCTTCATTTTTTAATTTAACAAAATCGTTATCTCTTATTGTAAATCTGATTTGGAAGTCATTAAAATTGTTATCTTTATGTTTAAAATATTTTTGGTCCAATTTATCAATAATGGAATGATCTTTCTCTTGTAATACCGCTTGCTTAGTGTCATGAACAGTTTTCGTTTGTGCTTTTTTACTTTTCTTTATCTTCTTATCATTCTCCCCTGACCAGAAGCCTTTTGGTTCCAAATCGCTTGCTCTTCGAGTTTCAAGGTCAATTTTTTCATGTTTATAATATTCTGCTGAAGAGTATTCATCGCTCTTTGTTTCATTCTCTATGTATTTCTTCTTGTGAGCAGTTTCTTCTTTAAGCTTCTGATATGCTAAATCATACTCAATTTGCTTTTTGCTTTCGGCATCTTCTGTATCCAAATTTGAGCGTTGAGAATTTATTTTATTACTTTGATTTATGTCGACTTTACTTGCAGCGTTATGTTTATCATAAACTTTATGAGAGTCGAAATATTTTCTGTTTTTGTATCTGATTGCTGAATTAAGGTTTAAATGTATTATTATTGCTAAAAAAATGAAAAGCTTCATTTTTGTTGGTTAATTTCACATTGTATTTTTCTTTTGTTAAATCTGCTTAAAAGTCCGTCTTTTATTGTTATATATATAAAATTACTTGTAAATATTGGACGAAAATAAAATTTGGAAGTGTTTGGATAATTGAAATTGAGAAATCATTTTTATATTGTATTTTTATCGTAGTATGGAAATGGTGATAATAAAATTTACGATTAACTTTTTAAGTTGGTACCTTGACTTGATATGGTTGTTATATAATAATAATAATACCTTATTTCAAACAAAAACAATTATCCATAGTTTGTTAAGTAAAGAGCTTTGGAATAAAGGTAGTATAATGCAATTCAAATATTGATTTAAAATAAAAGAAGATAAAATTAAAATAAATTAAAATTATAAAATCCGGCCGGATTGAAGGAATTTTTTCTGAGTGTTCGATCTTTGAATTAATAATTGTAACAAACTAGTGAAGTAATTTCACAAATAACAACT